TTTTGATAGAGAATTTTTGCATTCACTAATTTTTCTAGATGATGCCGTGAAATCAAAACTAATAACAAATGAGAAATCATATTTTAATCAGTTATTAACTCAATGTCGACACATTCAGTGTTCATTCTTCATGGCTGTTCAATACTTCAAAGCATTAAGCACAAACATTAAATCAAATCTATCAACCCTTTTCATTTTCAGTGGGTTTAGTCGTCAACAGTTGAACGTTATGCTTTATCAAGTGAATTTACCAATGAGCATTAATGAACTTTACACACAATATCAACAATTAGGAGAACATGGAAAATAATAGTTGATTTAAAAAAAGGATGTGTTAAATTTGATTAACTTTTTATAATTAATTTTTATTTTTTATTTATAATTAAACATGACAGAAATAGCAAATCTTCTACAGGTTCCATTAAAACAAGGGACAAACAAAAGGGTGCATATAATAGAACTATGAAAGTTCCTGATGGAATGAAAGAATTAGTTCATATTGTTGCTGGTCTTCAAAAAGATGTTAAACAAATGAGAAACGTTTTAACATTACCAGAAGCTCAAGCATATGCCAAACGTCATGGTCCAAATTGGGAAGCACACGAAGCAGACATTACGGGTCCAAATGGAAAACCTGATGGTATAAATGAAGTTTTCGTTACTGATGGTCAAGGTAATATTAAAGTCATAAATGGTTATAAATTAACTATATCTGATTATCCTAAACGTAAAGCATATAATGAACGTTATCCTATGCAATTTGATGAAAATGGAAAAGCTGTTAAACAATACATTGGAGAAGGTGAACATGGTCCAATTAATTCATACCGTCATAATCCATATTCTTATTTCAATGAAGAATTAAATGCTATTGAAGAGGGACCGGATGGATTACCACGATATTCTAACCAGTTTGATGGTCAATATGCAAATATTAGACCTGAAATTTCAGCTAAGAAATTCTTTAAAGTTGCTTTATTCGATCCAGTTTTCGCAAATGTTAAAGATGAACTTAAACAGCAATTCCAACCAATTATAGTAGCAAGAATTGCATCAGGTGCTTTATCTCAAGCATTCAAAGATTTAATTAAGAAACCATTATATCAGCAACGAGGTTTAACTTATGATTTAGTTAAGGAATCAGATAAAAGAAAATTTGAGAAATCAAATGATTATAAGAATGCAATTAATGAATATATTCGGTCTATTAATTTCGATGAAAATGCTAAAAATCAACTTCATGAACAAATACAGGGAATAATAGATTCAAAAGTTCCAGCAAAATAAAAGTTTAAATATATTTTTTTATTCGATTATAAATGAGAAGACGTTTCACTAGTCAAAAGAACACTAACGCAAAAGCAGAGATTACGGTTGGTTATAACGTAAATGATGATAAATCACGAATTATTCAAAATGTTAAAGTTAATGTTAGCCCCGAATTAACAAAGTCAGCAACTCAACCAAATTTATTAACTCGTGACTTACCGAAAAAGGAGGAGGAGCAAAATAAAGAAGATGGCGACCCAATCATTTTATCTGAACCCGGTAAAGAACCTGTTGGAATCCCCACATATCCAACATACCCCCCACCTCTTTCATCAAACATCGAGAACCCAGGAATCTACGATTCCAGTCGCAATGCGCCATATAAAATAGACATTAATTCTGAATTAATGAAAATTTACCGTGATATAATAACTGATAATTATGATTCAATAATAAATTTAATTGATCAATCCGGTTTAATTATTTTACCTTATGAATCATTAATTCACATTATCGCCATTCTTTGTGATGTTCAAGATTCAGACGTTAAGATTCAATTTTTCATAGATGATGAGGTTTCATGCTGCGGAACAGTTGCAAAAATAAATCCTATAAAGGATATTAGCACAATTAAGATATCAAAGAACGGAACAACAACTGAACTTCATTTAACATATAATGATATTTATAATAAAATAGTTGATGAATATAAAATATCACTTGAAAAATTCTTTGTTAAGGCTATTTAATATTCAAGCATTAACATTATCGAATAATAATCCTTTGAATCATAATCGATAATAATTGACCTTTCACCAGTTTCTATCGTTTGTTTTATTTCTTTTTGTTCCCCACTATCTGGATCGGTCATTGTAATTGTTTTTGTTATAGTATCGGCTTTATCTTTAACTTCAATCTTTTTTCCATCAGGATATTTAAACCAAAATTCCAAAAATTCGATATTGTCAATCTGTTCATATTTTAATCTATCAATTACATTTTTAATACCATCTGAAAATCTTATGAAATGGTCATTATATGGGTTTGATTGAACTAAATTTGAATGAAGTGAAATATAACCCGATGATGAATATGACATTGACTCATATTTTCTGAAAACACTAAAATTTATAACATGAATGAATTTCTTATTCGTTGAATTTATGAATTCTTGAGGTAATCTTATTCTAGTTTTATTTATCACTGGAAAATAACGCTTTACCATATTTTTAATCGTAATAAAAATGTCAATTATCAATATTATTTCGAATAATAGCTGTGAATTAAATTTAACAGTTAGCGGAATTTATAATGTTACTCTCGTTTCTGTGAGTGGTAAATTTAATCCCATTCTTTTAGACCCTTCAGATTATATATCATTTATTAAAGATGACCATGGAAAAACGTATGATATGTATATAAATAATGTGATCACGAAATGGGATATTAACACGATTTTAAGTTATTTAAACGAATCATTTATCATATGGTATGAAGAAAATTTTAAATCAAAACCGATAAACTTTTTGAACTTGATGAAATAAATAACCTTATTAAATTTCCGCTGAAAATTAAATTTTGTACTCCTCATCTTCGTTCATTGTTGGGGATATTAAATTTTGAAAAAGATGTTGGGGATGTTTTGTATTCTGACACTGGTTCCAATTTCATTTTAATCAAATGTGATAAAGTTAATACCCCAATGAGATTTTCACATCAAACATTAGACCCTAACTCTTACCCATCAATACAAAACATTTTATCCATCAACTTAAACACATTTTCTTTATCATATCCGTTTCAATTATCTGGGAATTCATTTATTCTTCATTCAAAAGATTTATCAAATATTAAATTTAGAATAACTGACCTATTTGATTGTGATTTAGAATTCATGAATGAAATATTATGGCAATTTCAAATAAAAATAGGTGATGAGATAACAGATTAAATATTTATTTTTTAATCATAATAAATGATTAAACAACAGCAACCACAGCAACTTAAGGCACAGACCATTACATACGCCACATATGCATATAATTCAAAGACGGCAGAACAAACGCAAAGGTTGAAATATGGAGATTTGGAGATAGTATTGAAAAATGACCATTTCGAATTCGTTTGCAAAGGTGGTGCAGTGATATCAAATATAAAAGAAATTTTATTTATGAATTCAAAAATTAAAGGTATAACGGATGATATAACATCAATTCCACCAGAAGAACAAAGATATTACGCATTAAATGCATTTCCTAAAGTTTTGAAGATTGGAAGATTTAATTTAAATGAGGAATTCATAAAAGGTTTCCTAAATGACATAATGAAGAAAGCAGATAAGGAATATGTGGCTAGTGGGTTAGAGAAGAAGGCAGATAAGGAATATGTGGATAGTGAGTTAGAGGAGAAGGTAGATAAGGGACTTATGGCTAGTGAGTTAATGAAGAAGGCAGATAAGGAATATGTTAATGAAAAAGATAATGAAATTATAGAAAGGGTTGAATGGTATCATGAACGGACATCAAAGATTTTAAAAACTAAAGCTGATACAGGATGGGTTTCAGGATGTTTAGACCTTAAAGCGGATAAGGAATATGTTAACGATGAGTTAGAGAAGAAAGCAGATAAGGAATATGTTAACGATGAGTTAGAGAAGAAAGCAGATAAAACTTATGTTAATGAAGAAATAAAACAATCAGAGGTCTATTTTACTCCGCCATTTTTAAATTTTATGAAATCATCAGATAAAACCTTTGATATAGATTCTTTTGAATGGATATGTTTCGATGGAGTGACCATGTATTTATTTTATACAGCTGGAGTGCTTTATTATTTTAAAACAAATGATTTTCAAAACTATGAATCATTTACTCCATCTTTGAATCCTGATACACGAAAGCCAATCATTAATCCAAGAATTTTATATGTTGAATATAATAACGGTAAATTTATGGGAATGATAACGGTTGAAGATGATTTTTGCCCTTGTTATTCATTCGATTGTATCCAATGGTTCAAATGTAATTTAAATCAAGATGCTAAATTTAAATATCCAAATAATCCTATTAGATGTGAATAATAAATGGGTACTAATTTATGAAGTCAATCAAATTTTCATTAGTGAGGAGGATAAATTATTATATGTTTAGTATGATGTCATCAGATTTGAAAATTGATTATACAAGTAAGTGGTATTACATTAACAACATGTATTTTATCCTACAAAATGATAAAATTTATAGATCATCTTCAATATCACAAGGTCAATTTGAACAAATTTTTCAAGCTGATGGAGACATTGAAGCTTTATGTTATGGATCAAATGTTTATGTTCTCGTTTCAGGTGAAATGGTCTATTCATATCCTGTAAGTTATAACAGACATATTTATTTATCACAGGATTTATCAAATTGGGAATTGGTTTATTCATTCACTCCAAAACTTACTCGAAATTATAGATTTACAAATTTATTTTATATTGATGGGTATTTCATTGCTTTAGGATGTGGTGATTTAGTAAATATCAGTAGTGATGGAAGAAACTGGTCTGAAATCACAAAATTTCAAGATGTTAGAAAAGCAATTTTCAAAAATAATATACGTTAATATTGATAACAAGACCAGTTTTAAATACTCACCCAAATTCAATATTATATAATAAATTCAATATTCATAATGGATTAAATACAATTCTTGAGATGATTTACCCCATTGGTTCTATTTATACGTCAATGAACTCAACAAATCCAGCAACAGTTCTGGGTTTCGGTACGTGGAAGCAGATTGTAGATAAATTCCTCTATTGTGCGAACTCTTCAAAGCAAACAGGAGGTTCGAAGAAAATTAAAGAAGCAAACTTACCCCCGCACACTCATACAGGAACTACAAACTTTTCTGGCGACCATAGTCACTCATTAAGAGACCATCCATTATACAACTCAGAATATTATGCTGGCAATGACGTTTTATCTCCAGATTATAACCATGCAGCAAAAAAGACTTTTCGACCAACTGAACCAGGAGGAAATCATTCACACACTTTCACAACAAATCCAACAGGTTCGGGTGAAGATTATATGCCACCATTTATGACTGTATTCGCATGGTACCGCATTTATTGAATGAACTAAATATATTTTATGTCTGTAATTAATTAGGTAATGAAGTAATGGATGAACTGCAGAAATATATTTTATCGTTAATGTTTACGTTAATGTTTACGTTAATGTTTACGTTAATGGTTACGTTAATGGTTTCAGGTCATTCAATAATTAATTATTTTTGAATAACTGATGAGGTCACCGGGTCACCGGGTCACCAGGTCATTTAACTTCTATGAAAAAATGTGACAACATGACATTTTGACAACATTAACGGAAATATGTGTTATCGTAATGGTTTCGTTAATGGTTTCGGGTTATTCAATAATTGTTTATTGAGTTTTGGATGAAAGAATACGGTCGAGCCAAAAGTGGCTCAACCTCAAAACGAGCATTTTATGAGCTTATTAATGGTGTTATGAATGAATTCAGTCCAAAAATAATTAATTTCATTAGTTTTAAAATTATTTTTATTTTTTATTTTGTATGTAAAGACAATAATGTCAGTCGATGCAAAAACATTCACGAACAAATCTAATGGCGAAACATTCACAAAAGGCACTTATAACGGTATTGAAGTCTTACGTAGAGACAAGGATGGTTACATTAATGTAACAAAGATGTGTCAGCAGTTTAGGAAAGACTTTAGAAAGCTGTTGGAAAATAAGTCCTGGGAAGAGTATTATAAGGCATTTTGTGAAGAATATAGCAACCGCCGGAATTCCGACGGTTGGTTTTTATACAAAATTCATGCGGGAATTCCTGATGAAATCAAACAGGTTAGAGGAACGTATGTAGACCCAAGACTTATAAACTATATAGCAATGTGGGCTTCTCCAAAATATTGCATAGCAGTTGGAAAAATTATGGACTCCATAGACAAGAAAGTTCATGAGAAATTAGATGAAGAAGAACTCGAAGATACAGTAGAGAATGCTAAACATTTGTTTGAAGAAGAAGTTGGAAAAATGTGCGAAAAACAATTAGAACATGAACGTGAGATATGTTATGGTTATAGAGATTCTCCATACGAACTAGACCAATGGGAACAAGAAGATTTAAAGAGAGAATTTAGAGAATATGAACTCGCTAAGATAGCATTTGAAGCTGCAGAAAAGAAGTTAAAAGTTTGGGGTCGTTTTGTACAAAAATATTGTGAGTAAATGAACCATTTATTTTTATCATAAACGACCAGAAATATATTTTATCGTTAATGATTTCAGGTTATTCAATAATTAATTATTTTTGAAGAACTGAAGGGGTCACCAGGTCACCAGGTGGTCACCGGGTCATTTAACTTCTATGAAAAAATGAGACAACATGACATTTTGACAACAACACAGGAGGATGGCAGTTATGACTTATTTTTGAAGAACTGAAGGGGTCACCAGGTCACCAGGTGGTCACCGGGTCATTTAACTTCTATGAAAAAATGAGACAACATGACATTTTGACAACAACACAGGAGGATGGCAGTTATGACTTATTTTTGAAGAACTGAAGGGGTCACCAGGTCACCAGGTGGTCACCAGGTAATTTAACTTCTATGAAAAAATGAGACAACATGACATTTTGACAACAACACAGGAGGATGGCAGTTATGACTTATTTTTGAAGAACTGAAGGGGTCACCAGGTCACCAGGTGGTCACCAGGTAATTTAACTTCTATGAAAAAATGAGACAACATGACATTTTGACAACATCACAGGAGGATGGCAGTTATGACTTATTTTTGAAGAACTGAAGGGGTCACCAGGTCACCAGGTGGTCACCGGGTCATTTAACTTCTATGAAAAAATGAGACAACATGACATTTTGACAACAACACAGGAGGATGGCAGTTATGACTTATTTTTGAAGAACTGAAGGGGTCACCAGGTCACCAGGTGGTCACCAGGTAATTTAACTTCTATGAAAAAATGAGACAACATGACATTTTGACAACATCACAGGAGGATGGCAGTTATGACTTATTTTTGAAGAACTGAAGGGGTCACCAGGTCACCAGGTGGTCACCAGGTAATTTAACTTCTATGAAAAAATGAGACAACATGACATTTTGACAACATTAACGGAAATTTGATGTAGTCCAAAAATAAAGTTAGTTTTAAAATTATTTTTATTTTTTTATTCCTATATAAATGACAGCAACAAACAACAGCAACAGCAACAGCAACTATATCGTTTCTGATGAAAAAGTTATTGATTCATTAGTTGAGGAATTAGTTGTGGCAGAAACTAAAACCCTCAACGAAAGAATTGGTGAAAACATGATTGATTTACATAACTACCTCAAACATGATGGAGGAAGAGGAAGGAAAACTGGTACAGCTTTATTAGTAAATAAAATTTCAAATTTAACGATTATAGATGTTGATATCAATAAATCGTACAATGATGAACTTAAAGAAACAGTTAGAAAAGACATTTTATCAAAACTTTCGGATAAAGATGTTATCGTTAAAACTGCATCAGGAGGTCTTCACATTTATTGCAACACTAATTTCTTCTATTCAACCTCGAACAGAATGATTAAATGTTATTCCTGCAATGATTATGATATTGATATCATGACTTCTATTGATGATTCAAAGCGTTCATTAGTGGTTATGGCTGATTCAAGAGTTCGCAAGAATGCAACAGAACCAATCAATACATACTCATTCATTCGTGGAAGTTATGATTCAACATTAACCAGAACAGTGAATGATATATTAAATGATTTGAATATTAAGGTAAGAGTTGAACAGAAGAATGAAGAAATAAAGAGTATCATGAATGAAAACAAAGATGTAAACATTGACGATAAACTTGCTCAGAGCATAGTTGATGGCATCTGTGATTTTGAAGTACATAATGATGGTGGAAACATGAATTTAGAAAAAGAAATAACATTATTCACACTGTTTCAAGCTATTAATTCGTTACCTAATCATTTAATTAATGAAGCATACGACAACGTTTATAACTTCTGCAATTTAACAGAAAATGCAAAAAGTAATTTTGAAAAAGCACGTAGTAGATATGCATATTTAATGACTTCTCCATTTGTTTTGGTGAAGATTCTAAAACTATATCAAAAGGAATATTATGATGAATATGTTTTACCTTTATTACGTAAGCCAAAAATAACATTTGATATCAAACTTGATGACTCGTTTTTGATAACAGATATTAGACGCAAGGCTGAAAATCATCAGTATAAAAACAGTTCTGAAGTAATTGAGGATTTATCACGTGTAATCCGTTTTGTAGATTGTGGAAACAAATATTTCATTCAAAAGGACTATAATATCCACGACAAAATGAATCAAATATCATTTGTTCTTCAGTCAAACATGAAAGAGTCACTCAAAATGATTAAATTATTTAAAGAAGAAGGTAAAACCATAACAGCATGGGATGTACTACTAAATCAATTGTCTTCATTAACCGTTAAGGGTGTTTGCTTTAAATCTGATTCCCCAGATGTTTTCTCAACGTTTCAGGGTTATAAATACAACATTCTTGAAAAGCCTGATTACTCAAAAATTGAGATGTTTATGGATTTCATTAAAGAAGCCATTTGTGATAATAACGATGAAGTGTATAAATACCTTCTCGGCTGGATTGCATCAATGATTCAACATCTTGGAATCAAGAATGAAACAGCAATTATTTTGAAAGGACTTCAGGGAACAGGTAAAAACAGATTTACAGACATTATTTCTGAACTTCTCGCTGGTTATTCATGTAAAAACATTACTGAAATAAGTGAGCTAACGGGTAATTTCAACTCAGTTGTTGAAAATAAAATGTTTCTTGTACTTAATGAACTCAAGAATGTAGGTGAAGACAGACTCGCAAACTTCAACGCTTTGAAATCAATTATTACGGATAATGAGATTAGAATTAATGAAAAGAATCAACCCAGAAGAACTGCTCAGAACGTTGCAAACTTTATTTTCGTAACTAATAACGTCTACCCTGTCAAAATTGAAGTTGGAGACAGAAGATACGTAGTTTTAAGAGTTAATGGTAAATTCAAGGGTCAATTTGATTACTTCAAGAATTTAATGGATTCATGCACTAAGGAATTTTATGATAACCTTTTAACATATTTTATGCAATATGACCTTTCATCATTTAATGTACGAATCATACCGATGACTGAAGCCAAACAAGATTTAATCGAGTTATCAACAAATCCTTTAGATGAATGGATAAATACACATTATGATGAATTGTGTGCAGGTATGACGTGTAAAAATGCTCTATTCTGCAAACCATCAGACATGAAAGACAAGAATTTCCAAATGAGCATTAAGGATAAATGTGAAAGGAAACAAAGAAAAATAGATGGTAAACAGACATGGTATTATGTTTTGAAAGAAGAAATGAAAGGATTATATAAACAAATTGAACCAAACGATAATGAGGATTCATTTACTGACGATGAAATACCTGTGAATGAAGCTTTATAAAGTATGATTTGAATTTATTTTTACATTAATCCTTTCATGATTGTTGTCAAAATGTCATGTTGTCACATTTTTTCATAGAAGTTAAATTACCTGGTGACCACCTGGTGACCCGGTGACCCCTTCAGTTATTCAAAAATAATTAATTATTGAATAACCCATGATTGTTGTCAAAATGTCATGTTGTCACATTTTTTCATAGAAGTTAAATTACCTGGTGACCACCTGGTGACCCGGTGACCCCTTCAGTTCTTCAAAAATAAATAATTATTGAATAACCCATGACTGTTGTCAAAATGTCATGTTGTCACATTTTTTCATAGAAGTTAAATTACCTGGTGACCACCTGGTGACCCGGTGACCCCTTCAGTTCTTCAAAAATAAATAATTATTGAATAACCCGAAACCATTAACGATAAAATAAGTGATAACAAATTTTTATTTTTATCATAAATGAATACCCCACAAGCTCAAAATTTATCACGAATCATAACAAGGGAGGAAATGATAAAAATGATGCGAGAACTTGCTAAAAATAACAAACCACTAAAATTGAGAAAATGTGGTTATGCAGTAATGATGGAAAGAGAGATGTTGTCGAAGAGGAATAAAAATTAAATTTGGATTGAGTTTAAAAATTCATCTTTATTAAATTCATCTCTTCCAATCAATTTATTTATTCTATTAAATTCTTTTATTTTTGCTTCACTCAGTTTAATGATTGAACGATAAGTTTCTAATGTTTCGATTATTTCTTTATCGTTTTCAACCCCACCACATTGCGACTTCTTTTTGTAATAGCATATTTTTGATTTAATTCTGTTTAGTTTCTTTTTATATTCATCGTCTGGACTCTTGACTGCTTTGTTGTCACTCATTTCTTACGAAATAAAAAAAATTAAATATTATTTAAATATAATGGAGTAATAAAATAAATCGGAATTTCTATTAATTTATTGTCAACTTCAACTAATGCATTGCCGTTAATATATCTAACAAATTCAGCTATTGTGTCAAATCTTCGTCTTCTTTTTGCCATTGATTTATCAGTTTTTCCATAATCGAGATGAATCAAAACTTTATTCCCTTGTTTAAAATTCATGAGCCCCGAATTAATTTGTTCACGTTTAACATCATTCAACCTTTCCATTTGCTTTCTAATATATTCCCATTCTTTTGAAATATCATTTTTCATTTCCACTGGTTTCATGTTTATAGTTCTATGCCATGTATTATTGTAATAATATACTAACTGTTGTATGATGGAGTCATGATTTCCATCCCAGTATATCTGACCGTTAACCCCTAACGCATCTCTAAGAGTTCTCATTACCGCATCAACTATTTTATTATGAAACGTATATGGAGAGGATGAGAAGTAAAAATTAATTTGTGGGAAATAATGAATCATAGTTGCCTGAAATCCTTTATCACCATCACCCCTGATATTATCTACTCTTTCATGATCTAGTAAGTATTGAATAGCTCTTCTTGTTTCCTGTTCTGTTTTCCCTTTCACTGGAATGCAATATAAATATCTAGTGTTAATGTTAATGGCAAATAAATAAGTAACTTTTCCTTTTGAATATTCCAGATGATCGATTTCGTATGAATATGGATATGGAGCAAATGAAGGGCGACTAAATTTTTCCTTTAACGGTTGAATTTTTGGGTCAATTGGTTTATTTAATATCTTGAAATCCTTTTTAAAATCTTTTTGTTTCTTTAATGTTTGAAATGGATATAATAAAGTGAATGATGAAGGATTAACTGAAGGAGGAGGAGGTACTGTCGTTGGAGGTTTTGGTGTTGTAAGTGGTTTAATTTTATCTGCTTTGATTTTGGATTTCATTCCCTCCTTCATTAATTCTGGATGTATTCTATTCATTTGTTTTAAATATGCTGTATATAAAGGTTTGATATACTTTCCCGCTTCGAGTTTATGTTGAAGGATGAATTCCAAAAGTTGATCTTCATTTAAAAGTCGGGCTGAATATGGTTTAACTAATGAATCATAAATTAAAGCTTGTGCTTCATTTATGGTCTGAATGACCTGGGCGTTTTGCACCTTTGTTTTTTGCGGCTCAGGATTATATAATTTATATAATTCATCAATATCTTCTTCTGTTAATACTTTATTTTTGAAATCTTTCAATTGTTTAAGTTGCGATTTAGTTTTTCCCTTTGCATATTCATTATTTTTAATTTTGTCTTTAATTTTAGAAATTATTTTATCATGATATTTCAAAATTTCATTTTTATAATATGGATAATAATAACCCATATCATCGCCCGTTATATTGTTATCATATTTTTGGAGATATGCTTTTAAATCATAATAATCAAGAAAATTTTGATTAAATACTAAATCATCAATCAATCTTTTTAAATCTGTGTTATTCATTTATATAAAAATAAAATAAATGTTTAAGGGTGCCCATCATTCAACGGTTCCTTTTGTCTCTTCTGTGGCATTTCATTAAATAAACGGCATACAACATCCATTTTCACAACATACAGCCTTAGTGTGTGCTCCTGTTAATGCAGTCTTACCGATTGTTAAGCGAGTCATAGACCCGTTTTTAAGTTGTAAATTAATATTCTGACCATCAAATATCAATTTATCATTTATTATATCCAAATAATTTTTAGGTGTTAATTGTTTATTTTGTCGTAAACTAACACCTTTCATTTTTTGTGCAATCTTTTTAAAATCACTTCCATCAATTGAACCGTTGAATGATGTATAACATTTAGGGCATAAAGCAACCATGTTATCACCTTGTTTCTCAATTGCTAAACCCAATAACTTCTTCTCATGTGCTTTTTCTTCAGCTTTATTCTTTAATTTAGGTTTAAATTTCTCATCAAAACAAAAGAAATCAAAAGGTGCGAATTTGTAAATGTTTTTATCATAAAATTGTTTATCAGTAACAATTGCTTGAAATGCTTGAGTGTTAGGAAGATTTGGGTCGCCAGCGATTGCCCAATAAGATGAATCAGTATCACCTTCAATGAAATGAAAACGATTAACATTCATGCATTTATACATAAAATCATAAATGAAAACCAAATACCAGTATTTAGCATTATCTAAAGTGAAGAATGCCTCTTGTAAACATGTATCACATCTATAAAATCTATCTTTGAGCATCAGTTGATATGTATCCTCTCCTATTTCTCTTATGTTTTTAAACTTATTTGACATACATGCAACGCGTGCCTTCTGTGCATTCATTATTTTAGTCTTTGCGTAATTTTGTGTATTCATTGCATCGTAACCATATGATCCATTAAGTGAAATCTTGCAAAATAAACTTTTTCCTTTATTTCCTTCTAATTCAGCCTTTTGTCTTTCATTCATAAATTTGTTCGCAAATTCATTAAAACAAGTGTTTTTCGTAAATGTTAAAATTGATTGAATGTCATCGATGATAAAATGAAATCTGTCTATTAGATACCAAAGATAATAAGAAGAAAATGGTTGATATTGGTTGTGTGTTGATGCTAACTGAGTTAATTTCCTCTGTTTCTGGTCAACTGGTAGATTGTTTGATTTCATGTAATTATACATAAAACTGCCAATTGTTTTTTCATCTGTGATAATATCTAAGTTTCTTATTATCGGTAAAAAGTTTATGTAATCATTAATGTATTTTTCATCAATGTGACCCTTTACTTCAGCCACGAATAAGGTATTTTTCTTCTTAATAATTCCCAGTGCTTTTGCTTTCTTTGTTGCTGTATCACAAATGATAACACCATTCAATCTTCCCGGCATATACATTTTATGGTCAGTATATTGAATGAAATCATGAGGATTAGATGAAAATGATGAAGGATATAATGAATTAAAGTCAACACCAACGAAATGAGTCATAATGTTGGTGGTGTCCTCATTTGATACAGTTTTAGTTTCTGGATTATATGAAAGTTTATTAATGTGCGTGATTCCTTTAAGATTAACACGATGTTGAACATTTGATAGACCACCAGTAATTCCATTACGGAGAATGTGATAAGCTTCAACTGAATCTAAAGTCATTGGTAAATTATTTTTTAATGCATAATTTCTTAAATTGATTCTTAAACGTTGAACATCTTCATCTTTATTTGATTTTACGACATTGCAATAACAACACATTAACTGACAATTTTCTTTGGTATGTGGTTTTTCATTATCGATTCTATCCAATGTTGGTTTATTTGCATATGTAAACGCTTTACCACACATTTTGCATTTAGATGAAAGGATTAAATCGTGATAGTATTGAAAATCATCCATTGAAACATTGTTTTTAGTATCCCTTTCTGCTTTTTCATCTTGTTTCTTATATGATTCAATTTTATATTTCCAATACTTTTTCGTTAATTCAAAACTTGATTCTATCTCTTCTGGATATTTTCGTTAGGATTAAGTCTTTATATGCTAAAGCGTAACGAATCATTGAAGCATTCGATGATAAAGAAAGATTATGAAGCATGTCAATTTTATAAACAAATGTTTCTTCAATAATTTTATCAATTGGGTCAATCATAATTTCAACATCTTTATTGCAATAATGAATAAAATATTCTAATCTATTCTTAAAATTTTTAGCATCATTGAGATATATTTGATAATCACTATCTGATATAGTTTCTTGGTTAATGCTGAATAAAATGAATCTTGAGTGAATGGTTCCACTTTATATAATTCTTCTTCGTAATTTCCCATGTGATGAATTGATAAGGGAAAAAGGATTTAACACGTGATTTATTGTTTCCGAAATCTTGAGTGAATTGGTCTAATGTCCCACCCGCTATATAATTTCTGATGTCAATAAATCTCAATTCATATGGAACGTTTGTTTTCTTTACAATGATTTGCTTAAATTGTGAAGATGAACCCAGCATTGATTTTATTTTCCATTTTGCAGTGTTTAAATCACGAAGAATTAAATTTAAATCAAACTTTCCCGAATTAAAACCTATGATATTCACTTTATTGAATTCCTCATCTAGAAGTTCTTTAAATGCTTCCTTCTGTTTTTCATTTAATGTATGGACAAAGTCCCCGCCGTTTGGTCGTTCGACTTCATTAATTCTTCATATTGTTCAATATTTGATTTAGCAACTAATGAACAGGTTGAAAATAAAAACTCAATCCAATCAGAAATAAAAGAATCACTCGAAGTTAAGCAAAAATTCCTCGTATATGTTTTATCATTTAATTTAACCGTTGATGATACCATGAATGGTTTTAAGTAAGCGTTCAAAGTTGCACACTCAGAAAGTTGTAATTCTTCTTTAGTCTCTAATGTTTCAAAGTCAAAAGTAATATAATATCTTGTCGGTTGATAATATTCCTGCAAATTATGAGCTAATAACCACTGATATATCTTCTGTTTCGTAATATGTGGTGCATATGGTTGTGTGTCTTTTGCAATTGAACGTCTTGAATTAATCTTCCATTATTTTCTTTACATTTCTCACAATGTTTAAAAATCTTCTTTGGTTTTTCCTTTCTGGATCATCACGGATAGAATAAACTTCTTCTTTGCAAAAGGGGCAAAACTTTATATCCTGTGAGTGCTTCAACGTCTGTTATTCTGTCAGCGTGAAGTTTTCCACATGGACTCTGTGTTAATAAAATATTTACTGTTTCAAATTCTGGATCTATCATTATTGATTCCACTAATGGAAAGTCTACCTTATTTATGTCCACGTCTTCTGGTTGAGGATCACAATAATAAAAATCAATATTAACGTTTAACATTCTTGCTAACCTCTCACTTTCTGATGAAATGTCAAACCTTCATATGCATCTATTGCTTCATTTAAATAACTTCTACGAGTTTTAGGATTAACACCATCAGGAATGTTATAGAAGCGTTTAAATAACCTTCTACCTTCTGCTCTTATTTGATTATCATTCATTTTAGCTGTTCCATTTTTGTTCATTTATGTAAGAATAAAAATTAAAAAATAAAAATAAAGTTTATTTTTTTAAAGTCCGAGACTCAGAGAGTCCAGGGCTAAAGTCCATAAAATGAATTAAGAACACATAAATTTTTATCATCTGCGACGTGACGAATACATTTTAATTTACTCAAGAATGCGTACCCTGATACATTAAATCTAATTCCTGTCTTATTTAATTTCACAACTTTGAAAAGGAATGTATGAATAGCTATAAAATGATGAGAAGATGTTTTATGGGTTGCTTCCATTTTTTCTGAAATAAATGAATAAATATAATGTTTATAAGTTTTCATATCTTTTATGTTCTTAATAACGAATGGTATAGACCTTTCAACTTCGTCTTCCTTCGGTGCTGTTCTTTCATATGAAACATTATTGGTATCTTCAATAATGAAACCACAATCGCATAAAATTTTATGTTCCAATGGTTTCTTTTGATATTTTATCTAATAAATCAAAAACTTTATCAACACCTGTACATTTATTTAAATAATAATTGTGTAAATATCATGGTCTTCTTTCTTAATCGTATTTGTTGCATATGTTACATTTTTCAGTGCTTTTTTGAATTTTTCAGAATCAAGAGGAGGTGAAAGTAATATACATGGATAATCCCCATCGTCAATAAACTGAAGCTTATGTTTATGAATAAATTTTGTGCCTTCTTCTGAAAGTGTTTCGTCAATATCACCATCTAATAAATTTTTAGTAGATTCCAAAAAGTAATTTTTATATCTTTCCTCATGTGATTTTTGAACTTCTGATTCTGAAGCTGGGATATTCATTAAACCCTCTACTTCATTCTCAGCATTTCTCAATTCCTTAATTTTTTCATCTATTTCATTTCTTAATTGTTCCAATTTCTCAATCTCATCGTTATAATATTCATCTTGTTTAATTTTTTCTTCAAAATATTCAGGAGGTGTTTCAAGGCTCTCTGAGCCCAGGTCCTCTGGACCATAAAGAGGAATATTCTCCTGTTTTTCAACTTTTTTGGGATATAAATATCTCATTATAGCCTTTTTAGTAATTGGTCCGTTATATTTAAATTCATTCAACAATCTGGAAAACTCTTTCACATTCTGCATATATGTTGGATAAGAACCGTCTCCAAAATTTTCTAAAATATTTTCTAATTCTGAATTAGTGAACTTTAAAGATTTCAATGAATTAGTTGTTATACGAGAAAGGGACAGACTAGCCCATTGTCACTTTTTAATTTAGCAAATGAACGCTTATGGAGTGGAGTTTTTGGGTAAATCTGATTTGCTTATAAATGAAATAAAATCAAAAGAAACCATATTGGCATTATATTATGCAAAAATAAATGATCTTACTTAGTACTTTTAAAGTTAATTTCAGAAAGAGTGGGGGACAAACTCGCCCATTGTCACTTTTTCATTAACCTTAAACTTGTAATTTTCATTATTTTTAATTAACCTTATTTCTTTCCCAATTCCTGATTTATTTTATTCACTTACTATTAAAAGTCACATTTTAATAAAATATAATAATTTATTTATAGCATTTTTTACTATACTGTAATAAAAAATTAATTATAATAAATTAAATGTTTATTAAATCAAATGTTTTCTTTGCAATAATATTTTTAATGTTGAGTAAACAATGTTGGGATCAAGTGTATCATTTTTCAGACCTTTCTGAACAGCTTCAAGCATACTGATGCATTCGACTTTTTTAAATTGTGTCATTTCTTCGAAATCTCTTGTGACTTTTTTGATAACTTTAACACTTCTCTCTGAATCCAGACCTTTAATTTGCAACTTAATCAGGAATGAAGGAACAACACTGGAATATAACTCGATGACAAGTTCATCGAGTCGAAGATTTGGTTGTACACCACTTGTATGTGCCGGATACCATTGTGTCAAATTTTTTTCTGAAATTAACTTTAAAAGTACTAAGTAAGATCATAGATATAGCAATATATGTTTAAACCAACTTATATTTTGGTTGTACACAACTTGTATGTGCCGGATACCATTGTGTCAAATTTTTTCTGAAATTAACTTTAAAAGTACTAAGTAAGATCATGAGATATAGCAATATATGTTTAAACTAACTTATATTTTGTTGTACACCACTTGTATGTGCCGGATACCATTGTGTCAAATTTTTCTGAAATTAACTTTAAAAGTACTAAGTAAGATCATGAGATATAGCAATATATGTTTAAACCAACTTATATTTGGTTGTACACCACTTGTATGTGCCGGATACCATTGTGTCAAATTTTTCTGAAATTAACTTTAAAAGTACTAAGTAAGATCATGAGATATAGCAATATATTTTAAACCAACTTATATTTTGGTTGTACACCACTTGTATGTGCCGGATACCATTGTGTCAAATTTTTTCTGAAATTAACTTTAAAAGTACTAAGTAAGATCATAGATATAGCAATATATGTTTAAACCAACTTATATTTTGGTTGTACACCACTTGTATGTGCCGGATACCATTGTGTCAAATTTTTTCTGAAATTAACTTTAAAAGTACTAAGTAAGATTCATTTATTTTTGCATAATATAATGCCAATATGGTTTCTTTTGATTTTATTTCATTTATAAGCAAATCAGATTTACCCAAAACTCCACTCCATAAGCGTTCATTTGCTAAATTAAAAAGTGACAATGGGCTAGTCTGTCCCTTTCTCTTTCAGAAAAAATTTGACACAATGGTATCCGGCACATACAAGTTGTGTACAACCAAAATATAAGTTGGTTTAAAACATATATTGCTATATCTCATGATCTTACTTAGTACTTTTAAAGTTAATTTCAGAAAAAAATTTGACACAATGGTATCCGGCACATACAAGTTGTGTACAACCAAAATATAAATTGTTTAAACATATATTGCTATATCTCATGATCTTACTTAGTACTTTTAAAG